GGGAGGTGAAATTTAGCTTTTCTTTCCCCCTTGATTTGAATCGTAATTATGTACAAACCGGTCTCATCAATGAAGTTTTATATTTTGATGTACGTAAGAAACAAAGGCTTCGTTAATTTTGCAGTACATTGAAACAAATGTTTTGTTGATTAGTCATTAAGGATAACATTTGGACAGCAAATTAAATGAAAAACATTCAAACTTGACCAAGTGAAAAAGTACTCCATAATTATTATTCTCCTTTTCATTTGGTTCTTCAAAATGCCAACTCACGCTGCACCTCCAAAATCGCCTTGGCAGAATTCCTTAGTTGTTGTGCTTCCTCGTCCGTAAGATGCACATTGGTCACGCCCAAGACGCCGCTCCTACCGAGCTGTGCTGGCAAGCTGAGGAACACATCGCCACCGTCAATATCATAGAATCCCTTCGCAAGGACAGAGACAGGGTGTATTTTTCTTTGGTCTCTCAATATTGTCCGAACTAGGCTGGCCACTGAGTACCCGATTGCCCATGACGTGTAGCCTTTCAATCTTATCACTTCGTACGCACCTTCCACGACTTCCTTGTGGATATTTGCCAAAGTTTCCTTCTCATATACGATCTGTTGCCTCTTTAAGAAGCTTAGAACTGGCACTCCTCCAACACTTATGCTCGACCATAGCGCCACTGAACTGTCTCCATGCTCCCCAACAATGTAGGCCTATAAATACAAATTCGAGTAAATCATAGCACAGCATATTGATTAAACAAATTAAGCCCATGTTTGGCTACTGTTTATCCATATATTCCGTAAAACCTACAAGACCACCCACTTATTCACTATTCTTTCGAGGTAATCCTTCGGGTAACCATAGAGACACGTTAAAAGTACAATAGCATTCTGTATTAAATGTAGCTTCTCTTATCAGCAGAATGCTTTGTCACAACTGATATAGAAAATAATGAACCTCAGGAAAATGAGATAGACATATTTTATCAAATGATGCTGATGCGACAAGCTAAAAGAAAACGTAAAACAGAAACATCAATGATTATTTGCACATAAAATGCAAACATTTAAAGTGAATGGAATCATTATTATAATTCCTTGTAATAAAGGTAAGAGTATGAGTCTATTCACTTTTTCATTCCAAAATTATGCTGGTAGTTAGCATAAATGAGACTCCTCGTATAACTCCACATCTAATTTAGCAAAAGATTGAATAATCATTTGTTCATCCTGTTCCCCATGAGATTTCAGAGAGAATCAAACTCGGATAATTAGATTACATGCAGAAAATTTTAGTTTCTAATTTTGAGTAACAGAAAATTTTGGTTAGTAATAGATTAACAACTATATACTTTCACAACCATTGAAATATGT